ATGATGGATTTGTGTGTAGGTATTGTTGAAATTTGTTTTTGTCATTGAATATCTTGTTTTCTCAGTCCATGAGGACTGAGAGTTTTGCTGGGTATAGTAGCCTGTGCTGACATCTGTGTTCTCTTAGGGTCTGCATGATATCTGTCCAGGCCCTTCTGGCTTTCATAGTCTCTGTTGAAAAGTCAGGTGTGATTCTAATGGGTTTGCCATTATATGTTACTTGGCCTTTTTCCCTTGCAGCTTTTAGTATTTTTTTCTTTGTTCTGTATACTCACTGTTCTGATTATTATGTGGCGGGAGGATTTTCTTTTGTGGTCTAATTCATTGGGTGTTCTGTAGGCCTCTTGTATTCTTACTGGTCTCTCCTTTAAGTTGGGGAAATTTTCTTCAATGATTTTGTTGAAAATATTTTCTGGTCTTTGGAGCAAGGAATCTTCTTTTTTTTCTCCTATTATTCTTAGGTTTTGTCTTTTTATGTTGTATTGAATTTCTTGGATGGTCTGTGTCATGAATTTTTTATATTTAACATTTTCTTTGACAGATACATCTATTTCTTCCATTGTATCTTCCACACCTGAGATTTTTTTCTTCCATCTCTTGCAGTCTATTGGTTATGCTAACCTCTGTAGTTCCTGTTTTCTTCCCTAAGTTCTTTCTCTCCACAATTTTCTCCATTTGTGTTTTCTTTAATTTTTCCAATTCTATCTTCAGATCTTGAGCCGTTTTGTTGATTTCCTTCACCTGTCTGACTGTATTTTCCTATTTTCCCACCAATTTCTTTAGCTGTTTGAACAATCCTCTGTTTCTTTTCTTTCATTCAGTGATTTAAGCATTTCCTCTCTAAAGGCCACAAACTGTTTGGCTGCAACTTCCTCTATTTCTTTACAGATGGCCATAATCTGTTTGTTTTTATCTTCCTTCATTTCTTTATGCATTTTATTTGTTTCCTCTATTATCCTCTTCATGATCATAGATGTAAGGTCATCTTCTTGAATATCAATTTGCTGGGGTGTCTAGGGCTACTTGCCCCTGGATAACTGGGTTCTGGAGATGCCATATTGCTCTGGCTTTTGTTGGTTGAACTTTTACGCTGGCCTCTACCCATTGGGCTATCTTAGGTGTTTAGAGTTGATTTCTGGTGGTTCCTAGAATCCTGTGGTGGAGAGAATCCCTTTGGCAGGAAGATGTTTTTTCCTGAAGAAAGCCTTCTCAGCTTTTGGGGTATAGTCACTGGATGGCTGGTGTTTTTCTATGCCACTGCTCACCTCAGGCATAGAGACCTGAATGGTAACTGTGGTCCTTGTTAGTCAAGAGGGCTCTCCTCTCACCTGGAGAAGTCCTGAAGACAGCTGCCCCGTTTCTTGCTGTGAATTTAGTGATCTGCTGCTGTAACCTGTGTGTCCTCTGGTTTGGTTGGTTTTGTTAGGGATAACTGGTTGAACCTTGGAGCACTATCTGGGGGTTGATCTCGGGGATCCCGGGCTTTTGTAGGTCTGAGGTTGGGCTCTGTGCCCCAGTACCCAAGCAGTAATCTGTGGCAGGTGGTACTGCTCGCCTGGCAACAGCAGGCTATCTGGTGCACAGCAGGTCCCTGGGTTGGGTCAGTCTACAGGACCTTTTCTGGGCATATACTGGGTGGTCTAAGTCTGTCCCCTTTGCTTTATTTCCTGTGAGGATTTCCCCAGACAGTGACTCCAAGTCTCTGGTGTCCTGGGGCACACAGTTCTGTTTGTGAGGAATAGTTGGTACAAAGCAGGTCTCTGAGCTGGCAGTGTGCGTGCTCGCCTGCTAGTCTACGGGAGCTTGGTGCCCAACTACTCTCTGTGCTTCTGGCTTGGAGCCAGACCAGTGATGGCAGCTCATACCCGACGGTCTGTGAGACCTTCCCCAGGCAAAGCCTGGGTGGCCCAAGTCAGCACTGTTTCCTTCCTTCCCTGTGGGGCCCTCTCCTGACAGGGACTCCCAGTCTCTGTTGCACTAGGGTGCACAGCTCTGTCTGTGCTAGAGAGCTGGGTGCACAGCCACTCTCCATGCTGGCTCTGTCGGCTGGAGCCCAGTTCAGTTATGGCGGCTCGTACCCTCTGGTCTGTGAGACTTTTTCCAGGGAAAGACTGCATGACCCGTGGCCAGTCCTGCTACTTTCCTTCCCCATGGGTTTTCTCACGACTGGAACTTGCAGTCTCTGGTGTTTTTGTGCCTACTGTTCAGCCTGGGAAGGTAATTGGGACACGCAGGCGTGTGGCTCTGGTCCAGCGACCTAGTGGCTGTACAACCCGGGATCTCTTCCGGGTTCTGACTGGGTGACCTGAGAGTGGACCCGACTGATTCCCACACCATGGGGGTTTCCTCTCACCTGGGAAACACGATCGCTGTTGTTTTAGGGCCCAGAGTTCAGTCTCTTGGTCGCTGTACAGAAAATGTTGTCCTGCTCCTCAGACGCAGTGTTCTCCTGGCACCGCCATCTTGGCCCCCTCCGAGGGCTATTTTTCAATTTTACAGGTGCTTACTGTTGAAGAACTTGCCTGAAGTCCCTGTAGATACTCTAGACTTGGCTTCAGGAGAACGTTGGAACTCTGAAGATACTGAGGACACTTAGGTTGGATTAAATGCATTCCACAGTAAGAATTATGATCATGTGTTTGGGAACAAGGGATGGAATGTTATTGCTTGAACCTACAATGGCCCTGTAGGCTCATATTTGATATACTTATTTCCCAGCCTGATGTGCTATTTTGGAAAGCTTATGAACCTTTGGATTGAGAATCGAACTATAAGATACAGTATACTGTAAGCCCTGGAGTCTCACTGCTCAGGAGCTCAGGATTGCGCCCTTCCCAGGAACTCTCACAGACCAAAATTCGATGCAAAAGCAAGAGGTTTTATTGCTATCACGATAGGGTTGCCCCTCCAAAGATAGGAGACGACCCAGAACATGCAAAGCACAGGGTTTTTATACCTGAAAATCAGGTCACTTTTGCTCTATAGTTTACAGCTGGCTGTAGATAGTTTACAGCTGATTGTTTCTCAGAACAGTTCACCCCACCCTTCAAGAGCTCTCTGCACCTGGCCTCAATTCAAATAATCACAGTTGTTTCTCATTCCCAGGTGGCCCCTCATCCCCCCCTTTTCTTTTTGCCTCAATTTTAACCCTAAAATTGTGGATCAACCTCAGGGAGAGGTTGATACTGTCTCTGGAGCATCAGGACCTAAACTGCATTTACACATTCCCTGATGAAGGCGAGTACTGGTCGAAGAGTTTATTGTCCCTGATGATTTTCAGTGTTAGCAGGTTGCTGGAGGCTTGGACTTTCCAGGTGTCTGCAGGTTGATGAAGAGCTGGCTTAATGTGTGATCCAAGATGCAATGCCCTCTACTTTGACGGCAGTTGGTATAGTGGTGTGCAGAACGTAATAAGGACCCTTCCACTGGGGTTCCAGATTCTGGCTTCAGTGTCGTCACACATACCAGATCACTGATGGGGCACCTACAAGGACCCAGGCACATATGCACTGCCAACCTTGCTCCAAATTTCTTTCTGAATAAGCTGCAGTCCTTTCCGCCTGGACAACAAGTCAGAGTTACCACTAGTTATGTCAAGAGGGTCCCCAAGAAGAGTCAGGGGAGCAGGAACCCCATATAGTAGTTCGAAGGGAGTCAAACCCAGTAAGGAGGGAGTATTTCTGACTCTAAAAAGGGCCAAGGGAAGGAGCACCACCTAGTCACCGCCAGTCTCCATGGTCAATTTGGTGAGAGTCTCTTTTAGAGTTCTATTCATTCTTTCTACCTGTCCTGAACTTTGGGGTCTATAAGCACAGTGTAATTTCCAATCGAGCCCCAGAAACCTGGCCACCTCCTGACTTACCTAAGCAACAAAGGCCGGCCCATTGTCTGACCCAATTATCTTTAGAATACCGAACTGAGGAAAAATGTCTTCTAGAATCTTTTTGGCTACCACCAGAGCGGTTTCTTTCTTTGTGGGAAAAGCTTCCACCCATCCTTCTGACAGGGTTTACACTCCCGAGCCACTCTCTCAGTCAGAGCGGTGAGGTTTAGTATTCAGTACTGGGATTGGCGGGCAATTTCAGCCAATTTCTTTGGCCCCAAGTGAGTCCACTTATGCATCTGAGTTACTCAGTGTCTTTCTGTGGTAGAATGATCTTATCTTTGGAGTCAATCCATGCCCCCACATCGGTGTCAAATATCCCGTTTTTGCTGTATTAGCTTCAAGTCACTTTCTGAGTAGTTTAGTCGTTCTTCTCTGGGCAGCTCAGCAGTCAGTACCAGAGTTTCCTCTGGAGGCTGCTTTAGCCTCCTGACCGGCCATGTTATTCCCCTTTGCTGCCCTGGAAGTTTCCTTCTGATGTCCCGGGCAGTTAATAATGCTTACCTTGGTGGGCAGCAACAAGGCATTGAGCAAAGCCAGAATCTCAAGTCCTTTCACCATCCCTGTTCCTCTGCTAGAACCTGCAAACAATCATGCTCCGGGGGCTGGATTTCTGGATTCGGCAATAAGGTGGCAGGGTTTAGTTAGCCCTGTCACTGGGGCAAAGGTGACTCTATCGTTATTCAAGAGCAAAGCCTGGTAATGTGTCATTCGGGCATTCGTGAGCCAGTGATCAGGTGGCTGCCTTATGACACTCTCAAGGGCATGCGGAGCATAGATGGTGAGGTCCTGTCCCAGAGTCAGCTTGTCTGCATCTTTTACTAGTGCCACCACTGCCACTACTATTCACAGGCAGGTTGGCCATCCTGCCGCTACTGAATCAAGCTTTTTGGATAGATAGGCTACCGGTCTCTTCCAGAGTCCAGTTTTCTGTGTTAGCACCCTTTTTGGCCATTCCCCAGTTCTCGGCCACACAGAGATGGAAGGGTTTGGTCACATCAGGGAGTCCCAATGCTGGGGCTGACATTAAGGCTTGTTATCAAATGCGGCTTGTTCATCCTTTCCCCAGATGAAAGAGTTGTTGCCCTTTGTAAGGGCATACAGAGAGGCTGCCATCTCAGCAAATCCCAGAATCTACAGCCAGCAAAACCCTGGTGTACCTGTTTCCTGCAGAGCTGGGCCTTTTTCGCCGACGCTCTGTAGTGGAGGTCACCCAGCTCTTGCAACAGCCGGTGGCTTCATCAAATATGGTCCATGTAAGCTGGCCCGAGACCCCTGAGTCCAGGTCTTTCCATTCGAAAGCGAAAATGTCTTGGCTGTTAGGGCTAAGTTGAAGACAAAAGAATCCTTAAGGTCCAGGACTGTATACCAAACCCTGTCAGAGGGAAGGCAATTCAACAGGTTATACGGGTTGGGCATAGTAGGATGTAAGTCCGTGACCTGTTTGTTAACTTCGCGCAAGTCCTGTAAGTCGTTGCTCCCAGGCTTCCGAACTGGCAGCAATGGAGTATTCCAGGCGGATTGGCACCTTCTAAGAATCCCTAGGTCAAGGAGCCGCTGTATGTGAGGGTGGATCCCGTTACGGGCTTCCTTAGACATCGGATATTGTCGCACCGAGATAGGGGTAGCCTGAGGCTTCAGCTCTATCTGAACTCGGGGCTGTTTCTCTGCTTTTCCTAGGCCAGCTGTTTCAGCCCGTGCCCTGGGATGTCTCTATAGCCATCAGTCAACGTCTTTTTCTGGACTTACCACCTTTTCAAACAGGCGGTATTCATCTTCCAGTTGAATCGTCAGCATGTGAATGGGATCCCCTTTATTGTCTGTCACCTGTGGGCCATCTGGTCTAAAATGAATATGGGCCCCTCTCTTTGTTAGGATATCTCGCCCTAACAGCGGGTACGGGCACTCGAGGACAACTAAGAATGAGTGGGATACCTGGCCCACTCCAAAGTCCACCTTTCTTCGGGTAGTCCATGAATATTGTTTACATCCAGTGGCTCCTTGGACCCACAATTTTTTCTCTTTTTTAGCTCCTAAGTCTTGTAACAGAACAGAATGCTGGATGCCAGTGTCCACCAAGAAGTGGACCAGCTTTTTCTTCCTTTTGGACAATCCTTGATCCAGTGTCCTTTCTCCTTGCAATAGGCACACTGATCCTTAAACAGAGGGCCCCTCCAATTGCTAGGAACTTTCTCCCTATCATTACGACTCTCCTGCACTATGGTGGCCAGGATCTTAGTCAACTTTCTGTCTTGCCTCTTATCCCTTTCTCTTTCTCTTGCTTCCTGTTCTTTCTGCTTTCTTTCCTCTTTCTCTTCTTCCATCTCCCTGCTGTAGAAAACCTTTTCTGCTACCTGCACTAAATCCTTCAACAACTTGTCCTGTAAACCCTCTATTTTATGGAGTTTTCTACGAATATCTCTGGCTGACTGGTCTATAAAGGTTATAGTCACCATTGCCTTATGTTCATCTGAGGTAGGGTCATAGGTTGTAAAGCAGCTGTAAGCCTCCATCAGCCGTTCAATAAAGGCTGTGGGGGATTCATCCAGCCCCTGAACCATCTCTCTTACCTTCGTCAAATTGGTGGGCTTTTGAGCAGCCCCATGGAGACCCGCCATTAGAGTCTGGCAGTAGACCTTCAGGCGTTCTCTACCTCCGGGTGTGTTGTAATCCCAATTGGGACAGGTGAGGGGAAAGCCATTATCAATCTCATTAGGGAGGACGGAAGGCCTCCCATCCATTCCTGGCACATTCTTTCTCACCTCAAGGAGGACCCGTCCCCATTCCTCAGTAGTGAGGAGGGCCTGCAAGAGTTGCTGGCAATCATCCCAAGTGGACTGGTGTGACAATAGGACAGATTCAAACAAATCAGCTAGAGCTTGGGGATTTTTGGAAAAGGGGGGTTCACTTTCGGAATCTGGTGGCGACTGCAGTGGTGCTGAGGGACTGCTGGCAGCACTGTCGCTTTCAGAATCTGGCAATGTGGAGGGACTGATGGCACCCTGCTGCAGACCTCCTGGGGGATTAGTGGGGGAAAAGCTGGTGGATAAAAAGGTGAAAGGTCAAAAAGAAGTCACAGTCTGTCCCATAATAAAGTCATCATCAAGAAAGTCAAAGAAACAACAATGATAGAGACAAAGAGAACACGATAGGCAATTCAGATAAGGACGCCCTTATGGGTGGTACCACAGAATTCTGATTGAGAAACAGATGGGAGGAGGACCATCATGGACCTAGCATCCCCAGACGGAGAGGCTGCCTCATGGTGGCCGTCTCCTACAGATGGGAGCAGGACCATCACAGACCTAGCCTCCCCAGATGGAATCTGGAGCATCCTCCAGTTCCCAGTCAAACAATATTCTAACACGTCTGTCTATCACAACGACTGATCAGACAACCAAAAAGGTCCAGATAGGTGCCTAAACAGATACAGAGTGGTATACCAGAAATCAGACTAACCTGTTCTGAGCTCGACCTCCAGTCCAGTTTGATGAGGGTTGGGGAAGGGGCATGCTGCTTCCCGGCCAATGCACCAAAATGTAAGCCCTGGAGTCTCACTGCTCAGGAGCTCAGGATTGTGCCCTTCCCAGGAACTCTCACAGACCAAAATTCGATGCAAAAGCAAGAGGTTTTATTGCTATCACGATAGGGTTGCCCCTCCAAAGATAGGAGACGACCCAGAACATGCAAAGCACAGGGTTTTTATACCTGAAAATCAGGTCACTTTTGCTCTATAGTTTACAGCTGGCTGTAGATAGTTTACAGCTGGTTGTTTCTCAGAACAGTTCACCCCACCCTTCAAGAGCTCTCTGCACTTGGCTTCAATTCAAATAATCACAGTTGTTTCTCATTCCCAGGTGGTCCCTCAATACCTTCTGCATTTTTGGGTTTTATTATTCCCAGGGGTTTACTGTCTCATTCTCTCTGCCCCTGGTTCACCATGATGTCAACAGTCCCTACCACACATCTACCGCCACAAATTGAGTCCCTCTGTTATACATTTCTTGCTTTAATGAACCCAGATCCTTTGAAACTCAGAGCCAACATCACCCTTAAGTTGTTTTGTCAGGTATTTGATCACAATGCTGTAAAAGTAACCAATACATTAATGTATGTACCCAGATGTAGAGCCGTGCAGGCTCGGCAGACTAGGCGACAGCTTATGCAGGGAGATCAGGGAGACACACAGCCAGAGTGTGTCCCTAGAATGTGCTAGCAAATTCATTTCTCAGGGCCACCATGCAAAGTAATGAGGTCTTGAGGGTTTCACCTTCATGAATGGGTTGGTTCAGAGATGAGAACACTTGAGGCTCTTAGTTGTATTTTATCCTTTCAGGTTCTCTTGCCTTTCCCTTTCCCCATGGATAATGAGTCAAGATGGGCCTCACTGCATGCCTGAGCCTTGATGCTGGATTTCACAGCCACCAAAATGATGGGCAGTAAATTTATTTTTGTACAGAATTCTGTACATGTACTTTTGTTGTTTTGCTTTTTGTTTGTTTGTTTGTTAGTTTTTTTGACAGCAATATAGCTTTTAAGACAGGCTGTATGGCCACCTAGTCATCCATTTACCAGGTGTTTGCTCTCTACCACAGACCAACAGGGAACTAAGAAGTGTTTCTCAAAAGGAGAACATGATGGAAACAGATACAGAGACCCACAGCCAAACCATAGCCTGAGCTCGGAAGTTTTGTGGAAGAGTGGGAGAAAGGATTGAGGGATTTGGAAGGTTCAAGGACACCACAAGAAGACCCACAGAGTAAACCAACCTGGGCCCATGGGCATTCACAGAGACTGAACCAAAGAGCTTGCAGGAGCTGGACCTAGACCCCCTTCATATGTGACAGATGTGCAGCTTGGTCATCATGTGGATCTCCTAACAACGGGTGTAGGTCTGTCTCTGACTCTGTTGTCTGCCTTTGGATCCCTTTTCCCTGCCTTGTCTGGCCTCAGTGGGAGAGGATGTGCTTAGTCCTGCTGTGACTTGAGGTGCCAGGGTGGGTTGGTACTCCTTAGGAACCCTCTTCTCTGAGAAGAAGGAGAGAGGGAAATGGGGGGATGGGTCATGAGGACAGGAGTGGGAGTAGAGGGGAAGGGGCTGGTATCAGGCTGTAAAGTGATTAAAATTAAAAAAAAAAATATGAGCCGGGAGTGATGATGCATGCCTTTAGTCCTAGCACTTGGGGGGAAGGGAGAGCAGAGGCAGGCAGATATCCATGGGTTTGAGGTCAGCCTGGTCTACAAAGTGAGGCCAGGACAGTCAGGGCTACATAGAGAAACCCTGTCTCAAACAATAATAAACACAAAACAAAACAAAACAAAAAACAAGATAAGACAAGACAAAAGATAAAAACTTAAATTAAAAAAAAGATTTTCACAGTAATGGGTTCTTTGTGTGCATGATAATTTTTTTTTTTGCCTTATTCCTTTGACAACAGATCTTCCACTCACCTGGAACCAGCAATCCCCACTCCTCTCCACTCCTCACCATGCTGTGCAGTCATACATGGCTTTTTACATGGATCCTGGGAATTAGAACCCAGGTTATTTTTTTTTCTTAAACATCAAGTGTTCCTACCCACTGAGAGCTAGCACACGAGACTTCAGCATAGGTGAACTTAAAACAATTGAGACAAACTCAGCTACAGTAGTTTGGTGTTACATAATATCTACACAAAACTAAATAAAGCTTCTAAAAGAATGTGGGTAAATTGGTGGAGCACAGGCTTAGCACATAAATAGGACTTCAGTCCTAATATTGTCATGTGTACGTGCACACACATATACACACTAAGAAAGAAGAGAGAAAAGGAAAGGAGGGAGGAAAAGAGGAAGAGAGGGAGGGAGGAAAGAAGGGACGGAAAAGAAAAACATTGCAATTACTATTAAGTTGACTCTCACTCATGTATGTTAGAACAGCAATAAAGAACTATTAAGGAAAAAAAACTCAGGCTGGAGAGATGGATCAGAGTTAGAGCACTGGCTGCTCTTCCAGAGGTCATGAGTTCAATTCCCAGCAACCACATGGTGGCTCACAACCATCTATAATGAGATCTGGTGCCATCTTCTGGTGTGCAGGTGTACATGCAGGCAGAACATTGTATTCATAATAAATAAATAAATCTTAAAAAAAAAAAAAGAAAAAAAAGCTTCTAGTCAAAAAACTAGTATCTCTGGTCTTGGTGGAATCTAGCATCCTACTTGAGGAGGGTCAATCACCTGGACAAGGGGCCACTCATCCTAGAGAGGTGGATTCCTAAGCCATGCTAAAGAGATAGATGGGATGATTTTTCCTTTAATGAGGAACTGCACTTTTCTTACAAGAGACCCCACCCCTAGCTTGTAGCCAAGTAGCTTATACATTGGCCCACTTTTCTAAACTATTTAGAAAGTGTAATTTCTCTTCTTTCTATTTTCTAAGTACGCTTTCTCTTAATAATTTAGGCATCCAACCCCTCCCCCCCCCCAAAAAAAAAACCAAAAACAAAAGGAGAGCATTTCTTTGTAAAGAAGGGCTCTTTTCATTCCCAGATCCTAGCGGCTACATCACGACTCTCTGTACATGTTTGTGCAGCTGCTAGATCACAAGTGCAAGTGGGACAGGAGCTCACACTACAGCGTTGGCCATCCCTGGGGTCTTCTCTTGCTTGGTTTGCGAAGCCTTTACATTCAGATTTTTCTACTTGACTCAACAGATAGCTGTATGATTGTTGAAGCTAGCGTTTGAGAATTCTCCTGCCTCTCCAGATTAATGCTGTGGGTCCAGGCAGGTCCGGACATGAAGAATCTCGGAGGCACTGAATATGCACGTTCCCCACCAAGGATGAATGAGATGTTGCTCCATTGCCTTCTCCCTTTGGCCCTTGTATTGTGGATGGCTGTTTTTCTTTGTGTGATCTACTTACTGTCATGGCTTTAGAATTTTTTATGAGTATTTTTTTATCAGTTGCCTGTTTAGAATGACCCCCTCAATGTAACACTGAATTGTTATCTGCTGTTTTGAAATGAAAGCAGTTTATAATGTAACTTCCAGGATATACCCGTTTGGGAGAGCTGTTGCAGGCACATGTTACAGCACTGTGAGTTATTATAGAAGAATTCATGTTGTACATTAGATAAAGACTCTTTAAATAGACATTCACAAAGATAGGTTTTTCTTTGGCAATGTGAAAGATACATTGTGGTCAAAGTTGTGCTTACCTCTTTGTTTCTCCAAGATGCCAAAGTTGTCATAGAGACTTTATATAAGAGAATGACCTCAAATACCACAAGTCAATGTGTGTGTGTGTGTGTGTGTGTGTGTGTGTGTTAAATTAGATCTATGAGCCAAAAGAAAATATAAAGAGGCCTATCAAATATTATGCTCAGTGGTATAAGATCTACAATCTGCTCTTCTAGCTTGAGGAGTATGATACTGGAAACTTCCATAGATCATCAAGTCCCTGACCATCACCACAGAGATTAACTTGAATGTTCTGTGAAATTTATCTCCTACTTTTTAGTCTACATGTATCTATGGAGATGTCTTCACAACTTATATATGTATTGATTCCCACTGTCAATCTTCATTTCACACACCATGAAATAGACATGGGCCTTTGAATTACTAGTCGAGGTGACTGGAGTATTTGGTTCCTGCTTACAAAGGTTTCTCTCTAGGCATTGTCTTACCAGTGTCCTTTGAACAGTTCATATCCCTGCCAACCACTTCACAGCCAATCAATGGTGTACCCTGGCAGAAGATTTTCTGTGGAAGACCTTGCTTGCATTCCAGAGTGTTGCATCAATACAGCACCTCCATGCTTCTGAGGCACAGTGAGCGTGGAAGCTTGCTCTTCACTGAAGCCAAGATCACAGAAGGAAGAACAGCCATTCCTATATCTGTGCTTCCTGTGTTCCTTGAAATGCTCATTTTTTTCATTTAAGTATCTGTTGCTTTTAACCTTTGTATTAGCTTAAAAGTTTTTATTAAGCTCTATCTGTCCAAATTGCTATATGATTTCTTCCTCCTGTATGAACATAACTGATATGGTATCAGTATCAGCAATGGTGTAACAGGCCCCAGACTTTAGCACAACTGTTAGAGGCACCATTTTGACTGAAGAACCTAGCTTATAGTCCTCAACACCTGCACAAACATAAACAAAGATGTAATCCATCATAGGTCATAGTTCTAGGAAAGTTCCTGAATGTACTAACCTTGCTTTCTTGGCTTCTGTAGCTCCACTTACTGCTAACTCTTCTTGATAATTGAAGTGTGTCAAACCAGGATGTGTTTTTTTTTCTTATTTACATTTTTTAATTAATTACACTTTATTCACTTTGTATCCCTCCTGTAGCTCCCTCCAACCTCCCCTCCCCAAGTCCACTGATAAAGGAAGTCTTCTTTTCCTTCCTTCTGATCCTAGTCTATTAGGTCTCATCAGGAGTAGCTGCATTGTCTTCCTCTATGGCCTGGTAAGGCTGCTCCCCCCTCAGGGGGAGGTGATCAAAGAGCAGGCCAATTAGTTCA